TATTTTCCCTAATCCCTCTAATTAAATTTATATAATGAAAGTATTATTCTATGCCAGATTTTATGTTCTGAATATTTGATGATCAAATAATAACGCTAAATATTTGGTGCAGGAAATTAGTAGCAAAGAAAAACATGAACATGAAGAGCTGAAAGAAAAAGTAAGGCAAATGTTAGTAGAATCACCTGATAATAGTACACAAAAACTTGTCTTGATTGACATAATCCAACGATTGGGAGTGGAATATCATTTCAAAAATGACATCGAAACATCCATTCAGAACATTTTTAAAGAGTCCCAACAAAGTAAAAATGATGACGATCTATACGTTGTTGCTCTTCGATTTCGACTAGTGAGACAACAAAGGCATTACATGTCTTCTGGTAATTAATTAATTTCTTCTTTATTATTTATCCTATATATAGAATTATAGATTAGTGCACCTTGTATTCAAATAGACCAATACTGTGTGGCTCTTTAATTAACTGGTTTAATTTCTTTGATATAATTATATTATGACGTTAAATCAGATGTTTTCAAAAGATTCACCAATGATGACGGAAAATTCAAGGAAGCTCTTACTATAGATGTTCAAGGATTATTAAGTTTGTACGAAGCAGCACATTTAAGAGTACATGGAGAAGAAATTCTTGAAGAAGCTCTAACTTTTACCGTCACTCATCTAGAGTCCATGGCCCCTAAATTGGGCAACTCACTCAAGGCCCAAGTTAGTGAAGCCTTAAGCCAGCCCATTCATACAAATCTACCAAGGTTCTTAGCAAGGAAAAATATATGTATGTATGAGAACATTGAATCACGTAACAATTTGCTTTTGAAATTTGCAAAATTGGATTTCAACATTTTGCAAAAGGTGTACCAAAGAGAGCTTAGCGAACTTACAATGTAAGGATTAGTACTCTTACCCTTTTCAAATCTCATAATTATGGTTCTTACGTAACTAATCCCTAATTAATATATATATTCGATATTTTATACTATAGATGGTGGAAAAATATAGATGTTGCAAATAAATTTTCATATGCAAGAGACAGATTGGTGGAGTGTTATTTTGGAGCAGTTGGACTGCATTTTGAGCCTCAACAGAGTCGTGCAAGAATAATGACAGGAAAAATACTCTCCATTCTCAATATTGTTGATGATACTTTTGATGCTTATGCAACCTTTGATGAACTTGTGCTTTTCACAAATGCAATAGAGAGGTAAAGTATAAACTTATTCAACCCCCCTATGAAAAACATTATTGTTATTCCTTCAGTTATATTTTATGTGACGGCATTTGACCCGTAAATCAAACTACGTATTTTTCATATAATTTCATGCAGATCATGTGGCATTAGTGCCATGGAATCAGTGTCACACAATTTGAGACCTATTTATCAAGTCTTAATAGAGTTTCTTAATGAATTGGAGGATGAATTGAAAAAAGAAGGTAAATCAGACCGGGTATACTATGCAAAAGTTGAGGTAAGCTTGCTTAATAACTCATCCTCATTAATCTCTCTGAAACTAATTACTACTCTCCCTCTGTTCACTTTTATTTATTCACTGTTCTAAAAAAAAATTGTAGGTGAGGAAGAATTAATTTTATGGGATGGTCACTCAATTTCAAATTACTTTATTTTATCAAGGACGTCACTCATTTACCTAAATTTTTTGTGAAGTCATCATTACTTATGGGCTTAATTCTTATGTTAATATACGATAGGTTGTGAAGTCATTCAATTTTGTTTAAGTAAAGTCAGACGCAAATAATTTCATTACTACAAAACAATAATTTAGTGAATTTGGTAGAAAAAAAATAAAAGTCATGCGATAATTCATGAAATCATAACCCAAAAGCAGATATAAGTTTGCTCATTATCTAATTTTACTTTTCTATTCTTTCATTATTATAGATGAAAAAATGGATCAAATCATATTTCAAGGAAGCAGAATGGTTGAATGCTTGCTATTTTCCAAAATGTGAGGAGTATATGGAAAATGCAATTACAAGCATTGCCGTCAAGTTGATTGCAACAATTTCCTTAATATGTTTGGAGGAACTTATTATAAGCAAAGAAACTTTGGAATGGGTGACAAGTGATTCTTCGATTTTTCGAGCTTCATCAATATTAAGCAGATTAAAGGACGACATCATGGGACATCATGTAAGTAATATGCCAAATCCACATTTTACTCAAGATAATAAATGAATTTGATAAAATTATCAAATAGAATTTACAAGCTAATATAATTTCTAGGTGTAGTACTTTGTGTATGTTCCACAATTTATGCGAACCTATTTCTATTTGGGAAGTCAAATAGAGTTTTCTTTTGTTGACAATATCATTAAATAATAAAAAGTGTGCTCTCTCTAACAACTTAAGATTTTAGATGAGATGGTCACACATTTCAACATGGTATCAAAGCAGACAAATGTCCTGAGATCGAATCTCATCGCCACACCACCCAAAATTAAAAAGAATTTCCATGTGAGGGGGCATGTTGAGAATATCATTAAATAATAATAAGTGTGCTCTCTCTAGCAGCTTAATTTTTTTAGATGAGATTGTCACACACTTCAACATCTTTTAAGATTTTGTACAAATTAAATACTCTAAGTATCAAATTCTCAATAATCTAAGTTAACAACACTTTGATCATTTTAAGTTTTTGTACTAAATCAGACTTATTCATAGTTGTAAAATATCTAGAAACAAATATACTTAATAGGTTGAAATTTGGATATTAATACTTGAGTTATGCCAAAGTACAAAAAAGCGGGGAAAAATAATTTTGCTACATGAAAAAGATATATGAATAGAACAAGTTGCCCATTAATTGTGCGTGCATTTATGTATTTTAGTGAAATTTCAAGTTTAGGCTAGACCAAAAAAATTAAATATATTATTGTACTGAACATATTAAAATCTATTTGATGCAGTTTGAACAACAAAGAACACATATACCATCATTCTTTGAATGCTATATGAAAGAACATGGTGTTTCAAAGCAAGAGGCATATGTCGAGGTTCAAAAGATAATGGAAAATGCATGGAAAGACATAAACACAGAATTGCTCTGTCCTTCTCAAGTACCAATGTTTGCTTTAGAACAAGCTATAAATCCGACACGTCTGACACTTTCTTTCCAAGTAAATGATTTTATAAATACTAAAGGCGGATTTAAAGACAAAGTCTTCTCGTTGCTGGTTGATCCTATCAAAATATGAGGTATCCATGGAGCAAAATATGGTTCAAGAAAATGGTGTGCAAATTTCTAGTAATGTTTGAGAATTAATTATTTTATCAAGGCATGAAACTTTGTAGCTACATTGTCTTCATAGCGATGTTTCTTATAATAAAAATCCAGCAATGAAGCCTATTCCCTTTTATAATTTGATTTTCATTTTCAAATTTTTTTCGTGAATTCAGACATATATTGATTTTTTCATTTTTTTTATTTATAAAAATCACATATTTTGACCCAAATACCAACTATTATAAGTCATATTATTATAATTAGTTTTTTAAAAAAGAGCTACAATTATCAATAATTCAAAACATTTAAGAAAATCATGGTCGGAGTAAACACTTTTAACTTTCTAAATAATATAATAACAACGTATAAAATGGAAGAAATCAATGATGTGTATCGATCAATTACATGCTTTACAAGGACTGTAAAATTAGGATATATATAATAAACTCAATGTAACGTCCACCCCCCCCCCCCCCGGACAATACTAGCAGGCGTCCAGCACTGCCTTTTCCATGTATTGATGCATATTATTTATTAATATAAGTATCTTATTAACCAAAAAAAAAAAAAATAGACTTGTGACTATAGAATTAGATCAATGACCTAGTCATCAATTTTAGCAACTGATCTTAAAGAGAGAAAAATCAACTAGAGTTTCGTTAATAATAGACTCGTGGCCAGAAAATTAATGAAGTGATCAAGTCGTCAATGTTAATCTAAAACAATATATTTAATTAGCTGCTAACTTAATTAAATAATAACCTGTTTGGTTTTCCAGTAATGCAATCTTCAATGTTAATTCACCCCCAAAAAGTTCTTATATTGTTTACACTATCAATAATTCCTCGATTAAGTATTTTTCTCTGATCATATATTAGTGGATGTACGACTATTTATGTCAATTTATAAAGATGTGAAGATTCATATATAGTGACTATTATATAATATACGTAAGTACTAAACATGGTTTTAATTCATACTCGTTAGTTGTTACTAATTATAGCAAGCATAAGTGAATATAGAGGCATGAAACTTTAAGTACTTAATTTAGTGGACCGCTAATTAGAAAGATTTAAATAATTTTACTAGATATTCATTTATTTCAAAAAGACAAAAGAATATAAGGAGAAATAATCTTACAGTAGCCAGCTCCCTAACTAAAAAATAATATGCAAAAAAAAAAGCCAATAATCATAAATTCTTTGGAACCCATTTTTCCGCCTTATTTGATGAGTGATAGCTTAGGTATTAATTAAATTAATTACTGCTAAAAGTTATTTTTGTTATAGTGTGTGAAGAATTTTCTTCACATAATATATTTTATTTTACTTTTAGTTAAGAGGATATATATATATATATATATATAAGTTAAGTAGTTATAGCAAGGTTCTATTACAAGTAGATGGCCTGATTAGCCTAGTAGAGGTTACTTCATCCTTATCCTTAGGAAGTTATTCTTTGATAAAGTCTGGTGGAGATAGCCTTGTTATAACTTCACATAACATACTCCATAATATTACTATAAATAGAGCCCAAGAATGTAGGAGTTTCTTCATCCCTCAATTTTCAATTATCATAAGAAAAACTAATACTAAAAAACAATGGTTATTTCTCCCAATTACTCTTGTAATTTGAGAAATGTTGAATCAAAATTCCTCTTCAACACTAGTTATTCTAAACTCAAAGTACCACATACAATATATTCATCATATTATACCCCTTTATTAAATATGAGTAAATTAAAAATAAGTGGAGAAATGGTTGATTCTTCCATTAGTACTACTACTAAACGTCCATTGGTAAATTATCACTCAACTATTTGGGGAGACTTTTTCCTCTCCTACACTCCTCAAATCACGGTATATTATTTACACAATTATTACTTATGCATGCTTTATATTTTTTTTGTTTTTTTATCTAGTGGCTGATACCTGTATTAGAGTCTGACTATTTTGGATTCGTGCTGAGTAGGACTCCGTTCGGGAAAAAGTGTTCGATTTTTTCATACCCAAGACTCGAACCCGAGATCTTTGATTAAGGAAGGAGCAATCTTATCTGCTTCACCACATCTGTTGGTGGTTGCATGCTTTATATTTGTGATCTTCCTCTTTAGCTTTATTTTTGGAAACTAAAATTGTAAGAATGGCCTACCATTCTAGCTAGTACTCTTGCATGAGGTAAGGTTTGGTCCTCCCTTTTGCTTTGAAATAGAATCTTCATTGCTGTTAAAAAAAAAGAAAAAAAGGTAGGGAATTACAAGGTGTATGGGGAGTCGAACCCTCACCAATGTATGAATGTTCAGGTAGTCAAACTAGGTGAAAATTCTGGACAAATAGATAGTAATTCAATTGGTTGACTATCTGAACTTTGAGGGATATTGATTTCATTTTAATCAAAATAAAGGGAGTAATAGATCGTCCCCAAAGTTTCAATGTGTAAGTGACTTTTTCGAACAACTCTAGGCCGGGGGCAATCTATTACTTTTTTTTCTAAAAATATTTTCAGAGTAGTGTTTAGTTGCATATTATAAGTACGATTTTTTGGCTAGTTTATTTAAAATGAGTTTTTCACAAACCAATTCTCTTCGGGATTCACAACACTTGTTTTGAAATATGCGTGTTCAAATACAACTTTTAACTTCCAAACTATTTTTCAACTTCATCTTCAAATACTAATTATTATTTCTCAAATAACATCAATTCATGTCCAAACGCCTAGCTAAATTGACCTAATTAATAGGGTAATTATATTGGTAGTGTATCCAATTTAAAACTTTTTTCTTATATTATACGGTCAATCAAATGTTGCATAAATAGGCAATAGTTATTTTCCCTAATCCCTATGATTAATTTATATAATTGAGGTATTACTCTATGTCTAATATTAACACTTAACATTTGGTGCAGGAAATTAGTAGCAAAGAAAAACATGAACATGAAGAGTTGAAAGAAAAAGTAAGGCAAATGTTAGTAGAATTACCAGATAATAGTACACAAAAACTTGTATTGATTGACACAATCCAACGATTGGGAGTGGAATATCATTTCAAAAATGACATCGAAATATCCATTCAGAACATTTTTGAAGAGTCTAGCAATGATGACGATCTATACGTTGTTGCTCTTCGATTTCGACTAGTGAGACAACAAAGACATTACATTTCTTCTGGTAACTAATTTATTCCTATACTGCGTGACTCTTTAATTAATTATTACTAATTTAATTACTTTGATATAATTATATTATGATGTTAAAGCAGATGTTTTCAAAAAATTCACCAATCATGACGGAACATTCAAGGAAACTCTTACTAAAGATGTTCAAGGATTATTAAGTCTATATGAAGCAGCACATCTAAGAGTACACGGAGAGGAAATTCTTGAAGAAGCTCTAACTTTTACCGTCACTCATCTAGAGTCCATGGCCCCTAAATTGGGCAACTCACTCAAGGCCCAAGTTAGTGAAGCCTTAAACCAGCCCATTCATACAAATCTACCAAGGTTGTTAGCAAGGAAAAATATATATATGTATGAGAACGTTGAATTGCGTAACGATTTGCTTTTGAAATTTGCGAAATTGGATTTCAATATTTTGCAAAAGGTGTACCAAAGAGAGCTTAGCGAACTTACAAGGTAAAGATTAGTACTCTTACCATCTCCAATCTCATAATTATGGTTCTAACGTAACTAATCCCTAATTAATATATATTCCATATTTTATACTATAGATGGTGGAAAAATATAGATGTTGCAAATAAATTTTCATATGCAAGAGATAGATTAGTGGAGTGTTACTTTGGAGCAGTTGGATTGCATTTTGAGCCTCAACAGAGTCGTGCAAGAATAATGACAGGAAAAATAATCGCCATCATTAACATTGTTGATGACACTTTTGATGCTTATGCAACATTTGATGAACTTGTGCTTTTCACAAATGCAATAGAGAGGTAAAGTATAACAATGTTATTCCCTCCGTTACATTTTTATGTGGCGGTAATTTGACCACCTATGAGAATCAAGCTACTTATTTTTCGTATAATTTCATGCAGATGTGAAATTAGTGCCATGGAATCGGTGCCACCTAATTTGAGACGTATTTATAAAGTCTTAATAGAGTTTCTTAATGAAATAGAAGATGAATTGAAAAAAGAAGGTAAAGCAGATCGGGTCTACTATGCAAAAGTTGAGGTAAATAAGCTTGATTAATTAATAACTCATCCTTATTAATTAATCTCTCTAAAATAATTACTCTCACTCTGTTCATTTTTATTTGTCCAGTATTTTAAAAATAAATTTTCACTTTATTTGTCAATGTGAACATATAAAGAAAATAGAATTACTATGAAAAAATAATTTAATGAATTTGGTACGAGAAAACAAAAGTCATGTGATAATTAATGAAATCACAATCCAAAAGTAGATAAAGTATGCTCATTATCTAATTTTACTTTTTCTATTATTCATTATAGATGAAAAAATGGATCAAATCATATTTCAAGGAAGCACAATGGTTGAATGCTTGCTATTTTCCAAAATGTGAGGAGTATATGGAAAATGCAATTACAAGCATTGCCATCAAATTGATTGCAACAATTTCCTTGGTATGTTTGGAGGAATTTATTATAACCAAAGAAACTTTGGAATGGGTAACAAGTGATTCTTCGATTCTTCGAGCTTCATCAGTATTAAGTCGATTAAAGGACGACATTATTGGACATCATGTAAGTACTATGCCAAATCCACATTTTACTCAATATAATAAATTAATTTGATAATTTTTTTTAAAATATTTTATCGTAATGAACATATAAAAATCTATTCGATGCAGTTTGAACAACAAAGAACACATATACCATCATTCTTTGAATGTTATATGAAAGAACATGGAGTTTCAAAGCAAGAGACATATATCAAGGTTCAGAAGATAATGAGTAATGCATGGAAAGATATAAACACAGAATTGTTCTGTCCTTCTCAAGTACCAATGTTTGCTTTAGAACAAGCAATAAATCCTACACGTTTGACACTTTCTTTCGAAAAGAATGATTTTATAAGTACTAATTGCGGATTTATGGACAGACTCATCGCATTGCTTGTTGATCCTATCAAAATATGAGGTATAAATGGAGCAAAATATGGTTTAAAAAAATGGTGTGCAAATTTCTAGTAATGTTTGAGAATTAATTATTTTATCAAGGAATGAGAGTTTGTAGCTAGCTAGATTGTCTTCACAATAATTTACATTATTAGTGTATATTGATACTTGATAATAATAGTAAACGACTAGTTGAAGCAAGTAAACACCAAGGGAAAATATTATCATACCATATAGCATAATTAACAAACATTACATGATGGCTTTTATTTCATAATAATAATTCTTACAATAAGCTCCAAAAAGCAGCTAGATCAATAGCGAATTAAAATATCTTAGTGGTTAACGAAAAAAATATCAACTAAAGATATGTTAATAATAATAGAGACTCGAATGGAGAATGGGTACCAGGTGGGCAGATGCTCTAGCAAGGGAGGGGTCCAAGATGAAGCAAGCTAGTTCCTTTTTGTACCTCGAAGTTCACTACTAAAAAAACTGTAAAAAGAGACTTAAAAAAGAGACCTCATGAGGTCTCTTTTCTGAAAAAAGAGACCTAAAAAGAGACCTCAACGGTAGGTCGATATAATGTAGGTGACTTTTTTGTAGAGACCTCATGAGGTCGCCAAACAGAGACCTCACGACGTCACTAATAAATTTTCCAATTTTTTTTAAAAAGAGACCTCATTAGGTCGCAATTTCATAATTTACATTTGTTTTATTTTTAATAAAGGTGGCCTCATGAGGTCACTATTATATTATTTATTTTTATTTTATATTTAAAAAGAGAGACCTCACAAGGCCGCTTTATCTCATAGCCTAAAAAATGAAATTGCCAAAAAGAGACCTCGTGAAGTCTCTTTACTGCATTTCTAAAAAATAAACTGCAGAAAAGAGACCTCCTGAGGTCTCTCTACTGTATTTCTAAAAAATAAAATGCAAAAAAGAGACCTCATGAGATCTCTTTTATGAAATTTCTGGAAAATAAAATGCAAAGAAGAGACCTCTTTTTCTGGAAAAAAGCTAACAACTTGTAACTGTTTTTGCAGCTGCTCATCACCGTCATATTAATTCAATACCTTTTTAATTAGCTAAATCAAGCTCAAAGAGTTTCCAACAATCAACTAATACAACACATTTACTAAATATTCTCTTATCAACTCAATATGCAACTCACCTTCAACGTAATCCGAAATTGAACGAAAAATCATAAAATTCATAAGTTATATAATAGGATTTCAATGTTATCATGCATTCACAAAAAAAATAAGTCCCATAAAAAAGTCATAAAGTAAAGAACTTAGATTATCTATTACAACTCTAAACTTCACTAATGTGGTAGTGTGTTTGCCACATGATCCTCATCTTCTTCATCACTACTAGACTCATCTGTCATATTTCTTTGTTGACCATAGACTGGATATCGAGTAGGTTGAGACCGAGAGGGTTGAGGAGGGAAAATGACGTCATTGGAACAAGGGGGAATCCCTCCTGAAGCAAGTAATGCATCTAATTAAGCCTTAAGACCCTCATACTCTATGTCCCTGCGCCTTTCCCTAGCCCACGAGTCTTGGACTTGGCTAGATAGCTCAGCTATCTTTTGCTCCATAGCTAAATTTTTCTTCATCGATTCATCATCATAGGAACTACTTAGGCCTTCAAACTCAGAATGATATTCACAAAAGGTTTGTTGTGGCATGCCATAGGCATACTCATATCTACTCGGCCCACCAATCAAGTCTAGCCACACTCTCTCAGCCTGTTTTTGGGTAAGTGTCATACCTCGATTTCTTCTGGTTAAGTTTGTCGTAAATCCTCCAAAACTTGAAGATATCGATTTTAAATTGAATGGTATTATTATTAGAATATAAATTTAGAAAGCAAGTAACTATTAGTTTAAATTAGAGGCTTACATAGGTCAATTCAGCTCGCGGCTCAACCCACACGTCTGGATCTTCGAGATTTTTCTTCTTTCTTATGTATGTTGCCCTGAATGCCTCAGTCTAAGTTACCAATCTTCCTAGTTCCTTTTCCTACATATTGAACTAATTAAGTTATAATCAAGAGTAATTAAATATTAATACCTAAAATATATAAAAACTTACAGAAAAATGATACATACCAATTTCCTCCTCATACTTCCTTGACTTTAAGCCCCACTTGTGTGTAGAGAACCACCCTTAGTAGATGGTCTAGCCTTCTTACCGATCTCACTCATTTGCTTAAATCTTGGATCCTTCGCCCTTAACAATATCTGGTTTTTCATAATTCAAACATTGACATTTATTACAAGGACACTTAAGCACACCATTACGTTGAAAAAGTTCTAGTGTCTTTGCATACTCCACAAAACCAGTGACGCCTTATACAAATTCAGGTCTTAGCCCCATTCGACCAAAATTAGTCATTTTATACATCCAACTACGATTCATCTACATAAAGATCACAAAAAATTGAATTTGTTAAACACTAATTTATGTAATAATTTACTGAAAATCAAATTGTAACAATCCTAGTAGGGACTGCTTAACGAGGCCTTGTGCAAATGAATAAATGTATCTTTGGTGACTACAAAAGCATACTTCTCTCAACAGTTTGTCCCAAATAATGTCCACTTCCCTAAATAAATCAAAATAGAATACATCATTAAAAAAATAGTAGTAAGGTGGCACTACTACAGAAGGGTCAAGGACCTTTCTGGGCACAATGATTTCTTAACTTTCCTCTCTTCATTACTGCACAATGGTTTATATCTATAGACTATAGTATATATATAACTTTCCTCTTCTCATTACTACAACCAATAAAATAATAGGTAGATCCATATGTCATCTTAATTACTCATAAACAAAGAACAAGTCATCTTAATTGTCAATTATCAGCAAAAACATCTAATCCATACATTTTTCAGTTTAAAAACAACTAAAATACATACAACGACATAAACCAAAACAATATTAGTTCTAAGTTTGCATCAGAATTTACAACGTGATTATTTTAGATTGAGATATAAGATATAATAATCTCAAAATACAATACAAATCTTCATAACAGGTTTTATTTCTTTATTCTTAGATATTACTACCCATGTATCTTTAGGCCTTAGCCCCTCTTGACCAAAATTATTCCTATTATACATCAAACTATGATCCATCTACACACAAAATTTGAATTTTTCAAGCAAGAAATTAAGTCATCTTCCCAGTTAGTAGTATTAAGGGGATTCTTGCATTTGAGGCAGCAGCTTCAACTAGCATGATGATGATGATGATGCAGCCAATAGGCACTATTAAGGGTCAAGGACCTTTCTCGGTACAATGGTTTCTTAACTTGTCTCTCCTCATTATTGCACGATGGTTTATATCTATAGACTATAGTGTGTGTATATATATATATATAACTTTTCTCTCCTCAGTTAAAAAACAACCAAAATACATACAGAGACATGAATCAAAATGATATTAGTTCTAAATTTAAATCAGAATTCAACACATGATTATTAGGAGTTATTTAGAGTGAGATATAAGGTAAAATAATCTCAAAATATAATAGAAAATCTTCATAACCGAGTTTATTTCTTTATTCTTAGACATTACTACCCATGTATCTTCTTCTAAATTATATGATACAAAACTTGCTAGCATTCATGTTAATCATCATGAGAAGTCAAAACAGGACATTAAAATAGAACAAGAGTAAAACCCAAAGTTAATTATATGTTCATGAAGTGAAAAGAGAATCACAAATTCTACTAATGCTTGCAGTAAATTGAAAGAGAGAGTCTACATTGATGGATGCTTGCAATAAATAAACAATATAGTTACAACTTGGTTTAAAGATTGAAAGATTCACCTTTATTTGCAGAGAAAGAAATCGACACCGAGAATTTGAATCGATGACGAAAGCTTTGGCTTCAAACCGAGTGAGTTCCGAAGGTGAAAACTAAAAAACTTCAAACTGATGAGAGGCTTGACGACAACCGAAGGCTACACATTTGTAAAACTATGGGGAAGAGACAAGTTAGGGCTTTTTTTAGCTTTTAGGTGAAGAGCAGGAAAGGAAATGAACTAAATTAAAAATGCCCTCTTATTTTAATTTAATAAAAATAAGAGACCTCATGAGGTCTCTTATTTTAAAATATTATTTTACAAATTTGACTAATAAAATGAGATCTCACAAGATATATAAACCTAAATTAGTATTTTTTATTTTAACAAATAGTGACCTCGTGAGGTCGCATATTTTATACAAAGACATACTATAAACTAAAAAAATTAAAATAAGTCACTTATATTATTAATTAGGAAGATTTTTTTATAAAATTGACCTCACGAGGTCTCTCTTGTTAAAAAAAAAATAAAAAAAGTTATTGATGCAAATAGCGACCTCATGAGGTCTCTTTTTAGCGACCTATTTTTGAGGTCTCCTTTTGCAATTTTTTTAGTAGTGGTTCCACCAGTGTTTATCTCGAATAAACTAGAAGCAAACAAAGGAGGAACTCATTTTGTTACGATATGGAAGTCACCAAATACTTCCGACTTATGTAATAGTTATAAACTCAATGTAACTCCCCCACCCTGGACGATATACTAGCAGGAGTCTAGCACTGTCTTTCCCATGTATTGATGCATATTATTTATTAATATAAGTATCTTATTAACAAAAATAATAATAATAATAGACTTGTGACTATATATAGAATTAGATGAGTGACCTAGTCATCAATTTTAGCAACTGATCTTAAAGAAAGAAAAATCAACTAGAGTTTCGTTAATAATAATATAATAGATTCGTGACCAGAAAATTAATGAAGTGATCTAGTCGTCAATGTTAATATTGGCGTATAAGAGCAGACTAGGAAATTGAAGAAAAAAAGAGCATCCTATTTATAGGTGCTTAATCTAAAACACTATATTTAATTAGCTGCTAACTTAATTAAATAATAACCTATTTGGTTCTCTGATCATATATTAGTGGGTGTATGACTATATAATGACCCTAAAGGTCATTTTCGGAAATTTTCATAAAATGACCGTTTTACTCCTCCCGATAGTTGCCCCGAGTCCTAATTGTTGTATTTTCGAAGTTGATTTGAAGGAAAATTGATGAAAAGTTGAGTTTTTGGGAA